TTATCTCATCCCTTTCCATGAATGAAATCACTTGTCGCTTAAGTCATTCTCTGGCAACTGTAAGCCAGGGCCTAGATTTTCGAAGCTCTCTTAGCGCTAAGATAGTCGTAAGTTAATGTTATTGTATGGCACTTACGACTATCTTAGCGCTAAGAGAGCTTCGAAAATCTAGGCCCTGGCCCTCGCTTTAAGTTGAATCACCTTCGACTCAACGTTTCCCAAACAGCGTCTTGAAATACCAGTTGTTTTGTGAATGATAGACTGACATCTGTATTTCTTAGCTACCTTTCCTCCAATGACCGAGGACAAAACATTCATAGTCTTCTGTTTAGGGTTTGACATGCGAGATTGTTGAATCTCATCCAGTAAGACATTTGCCATTGTTAGTTTCTTAACAACATGTTTAGGAATCCCACTGGGACTTACGCCACATTGGTATAACTCCCTTCTGGTTCTTGTTGAAGGGGTTGACTCTTGTTGCGATTGTGCATTTTCTGTAGGAGCAAAGATTCCAGGCTCGAGTCTTGTTGATTTCAATTTCTGCATTGCCTTTAAACGTTGATATCTTTTCTTCCACCTTTCTTCATGTTTTCTTAAATTCGTCAGTTTTTCTGTTATTTTAGTAACTATTGTTTTACTTTTTCTCAAAGCATTTGAATTTCTAGTCTGACTATCATTATTTTGTAGACTAGATATCACATCAATATCGTCAGTACTGCTTGAAACAACGTTTAACTGGCCATGGTCTGCTTAAACAATTTCAAGTGTCTCGTTTTCTTTTTCCTTCTTTTTCTGGTTTTGTCTGTCCCTATACCTCTGACTGTATAATCTGTTATTCTCTCTAACCTGTTTCTGTTTCTTTTTAGCCAGTTGAGTTATTGGAGTTCTGTATGACTTGGCCCGCACTCGTTCTTTCTCTAGATATTCCTTATCATTCATTTGTTTACGTTCTCTATACTCCCGTTGATACTGTGCACGCGTCTTGCCCATTTTTTAAAATGTGTTGGAAATTGTACATTAGTAACAGTTATCTAAATTACAATGTTAAATCCATAATAGTGAGGGGGTTTTACGGGTAAATGGAAGTTGGCAAACGATACTGTGCGTCATTGAATGATTGTCTGTTGAGATTTGTTTAATCCATGTCAGATTATAGCAATTTCGTCAAATACGTTAATCAATTTTATCAGATACGTTAAATACATTATCAGTCTATATGTTACAGCTAGAAACCAGACCATACATTAATTCTGTAGGTATTACTAAAACATGCATCATACCTATTGCTTGTGTGATTGAATGCACAACAATTCTTTAAACCGATCGTTTAATCATATCAAATACGTTAACACCAACTAAGATACATTACATACATAACTCAACGAATGCAGCGAGTTTGTTGAAGGTTTTGTATTTCTGATATATGTGGGTCCAAAGATGAACATTTATTGAATACAATTCATACAAAGCTATAAATTAACTACCATTATTGAAGACTATATATGATTTCGAAACTTCACTTATCAGTGTCAGCTAAATTCTCAGCAATCGTTGTCAAATTGAGATCTCTCCCGCCAAAAACAATGGGTGGAAGTAGCGTGCTCTTGCATCAGCGCTATAAATATATTAATCCGAAATAAGAATGCACTGGAACACAAACTCTGAATGTCCACATGCTATTACACGTATCTGACGAAAACGTATCGGATGCTATAAAAGCAAACTTCGGCCTACAGTTGGAGTGAAGTTTATCTCACTTAGTTTCACACAGGTTTGTGATACTGCTGTCATCGGTGCTTAAAAACAATTGGTTTACAACTACTGCGCTGTACAGAATCCCTTCAATTGCAGATGACGATTTCACGTATCTGATGAAAAATGAAAGTAACAAACCTTCTATTTCAGGTACGACTACTAATATCTTTTCAAGTTAACTTTAGAAAGAAAAAGCACATAACTGATTTACAGATTGGGATATGTGGAAACGAAAACACTCGTACAACACGTCGTATGGTTTTGAATAAGTATTACTGGTCGATGACTAAAGTGTTAAACGTATCTGACGGCAATATCGGGGACACACAAATAATGCATTTTTTTTTTTAAAGAACAAATAAACTTTGTACTCTTTTAACTATTACATCTGAAAGATTTGTGGTTAGACTTATGCAGAACACCAAATTCATCCTTTAAAAACTTGTGGTTAATTAATACCGAGCAATTAAAAGTTGCCAAAAAGTCGCCTGCTTCACTCTCGCCCGCCAACGAAACCACAGACAGGTTACGTAACTCTGTCGCCAGAGCACTGCAGTGACGTCATATGAGGAACGATTTTCAGTTAGTTGTATAGAAAGTGTGTAGCACGCTCATCATTTTGATGATTTCTCGACATCAACGACGACATGCCGAATCGTTGCTTTGTCGTCAATTGCTCCTAGGGGTCGGGCGATAGTGTCACCATGCACAGATTTCCACAGGACCCCGCAGTTCGTGCTAAATGGGTTATGTTTGTGAGTACGAAGCGAGCGTTGTGGAAACGATATCTTACTTGTGTTCAGATCGCTTCACGGAAGTTAAAGAATCAAAACTACTTACTAGTTGTAGTAAAATATGTATATAATTGATGACCATAAAGATTTTCCATGACACAACTTGTAACATAACGATTTCTTCCTCGGAATTGAGGTTGTGGTCGAAGTAACAATAATATTGTAAGTAGTATTATATTGACACCCACCTCGCTTCCACGAGAGAAATTGTTATGTTATAAGCTATGTCATGCAAAATCATATTGGCCATCAATCAAATACATATTTTACTACCAGTAGAAAGTAGTTTTGAGTTTGTAACTCGGTGAAAACAAACCTAAATAGCATTTATCCTCAGACTGGCGGATGTTCGCGACAGGGCGCCGCCATTTTTGAAAATCGTAAAGTGACGGGCTAAAGTCTGTTAGAATTAATGAGATTATGGTTTGTTTTCATCAAGTTAGAAAATCAAAACTACTTTCTACTCGTAGTTAAATATGTATTGGAATCATAACCAAAAGGATTTTGCATGACACAACTTATAACATAACGATGTCTTCCACGGAAGCGAGATGGGGGTCGAAGTCACAATACTGCGCGATAAATTTCTTGCTACATTCACATGGTTAATGTCCACTCACCAGTATGTAGATACTAGTCAATATGCGTCTTTATATTTGGTCTTATAATCCTAATTAGTTTATTATCATACTTGTATGCATTTTGAAACTAAATAAAAAGCAGACGATCTGCTGATACTTATAGTGAATTTATAACAGAACTGTAATATCTAGACATTTTATAGTTTGCCAATGTTAATCATAATTCGCACACACACCCTGGTGTATGTTGTCTGTCTCATTACACTTCACGGCGAAAACAATGATTCTGTTGAATACTTCGACAAATGAATAAAAACAAAATGCAAATATTAAAATTAAAGCAGATTAAAGTTATAGGAACAATATCAGGCTATTACCTTGTTCGAGGAATGTATCCATCAATATCCACAAAAACGAGTGATATGCCATTCATCTGCAGCTGTTCCATGTGATGTGTCTTTTAACAGTTTAATATACGAAAAAGTGATAAATCTTTTCAGGTATTTCACATTGGTGTATAGTCTCATTGGTCACCCAAGATAGCACACCTGGCAACTAATTGCATAATGTCCGCCTTTCTTTAAAAACAGTAATTTAGTTAGCCAGTGTATTGCCGGCTAATCCTTTGAAAGAAGGACGTTGTTTTTACGGAGACACCGACACGACAGAGTGTATTCAGTATAGATTAGTAAATCTACATACATAAACACTACCTTTTGACAAATCCGCTGTGTAAGATAACAGTAATTAATCAATCAGCGTGTTATCGATTAATCCTTTGATCGATGTTTATAATGTTGAATATGTACTCCAGACACAAGAAATGCCAAAAGGGAACCTTTGTCGGGAAATCTAAGTGTGTTACCACTTATTATACCTGTTATAAATTCATTAACTGGCCATCAAGTGAATGATGACAAATAACATGTGTAGGTTTATACCACCTAACACGGGTTACAACAAGGGAGTATTAATTGCTGTATTTCATGTGAAAACTTATGGGCCGACACTGTTTTGAGAATACAAACAGATTTTTACATGACATGATTAAATATCGAGGTAAAAAAAACACAGAAATGGGATCAATTTGGATCAGTCATTATACAAATCAGGCCTAACGACACCAAGCGATTTTGACAGAATCGTCTATGAAAACAAGTTGTAACTCGGAAACTAGGCAAAGCAGGAGACAAAATTAAATGACAGTAGATTGTGAGAACATATAGCTTTCATTTTCCACAACAGTTGTCACGATTTCAGGTTTATACAAACCTGTAAACAAGATAATTTACCCCCTAAAATGTAGATGAATTCTGCATCGGCCCTCATAGCCATTCCTCATATGACGTCACAGAGACGCCCCGCTCTGATTGGTTGAAATTTCGTTCGCGGGTGAGAAATGGGCATTGTTGTCAAAAAGGTCGATTTAAGTTAATTAAAGACCGAAGTGAGTAGTTTTAATGACGGGGTTTCATTTATCACGATGCCAGTTAGTGATTTATGTATTTGTACCCCCCTAGAGTATATGTGATCTTTAAACAAAGTTTTCTTATGACTACCTAGTATTTCCTTTATGATTTTGCAAGTACTTAGATATATTGTCAAGTCCAATGAGATAGCATATTTACACAAATGGTTGCCTAACGTGGAATTGTTATCAGGTACTTGCTGGAGGAACAAAGGAAATATGTAACAAAGGTCTATACCACGATGCTGTGTATACCAAACTTACTGACACAAACACTGACGTGACATGAATTGTGATACTGTATGTGCGGGCCTCTGTTTTAGTAAGAAGAAAAATACATTTCAATGAAAAAATATTTTATAGGAGGACTGGGACAAAGAAATACGGGAAATGTGCGTTTAGTGGACAATCAGTGTTTTGCAGTTTCGCTTTTTCTCACATCTACTCCCATGTTAGCCTAAAGATCTACCAGTATGCAGCATCACTGTACTGGAATATAGCCGTTTGTTTCTCTGTGTGGAATAACTGAATAACATCCTGACTGAAAGCTTATTTAAAGGTTGGCTTTATTGGCATTTTTGGACACATTCAACGTATGCAAATATTGGCACTAGTATATCTTCGCAAATCGTGAAGGATTACTAGAAATTGCTTAAAAAGTCGATGTATGTATTTACTGCAATTTGACAGAATCTCATGCCACCTTAACACTTGCACGAAGTTTGCCTCCGCACTGCCGCGCAATTCGTCGCGATAATGCGTGTAATAACACCCATTCACATGCACAAAATTGACTCACGTAAGTAAATTTGCGCATGTGTAAATACATATAGTGTGTAATAGTAAATTTACTTTGCGTTCACATTCAATTTATGTAGAGTGAGTAAACTTGAAAGTGTAAATAATAAATAAATTAAATTGTCTCATTCTTTCTCTAAACTTCAACAGAGTAAGAAGACAAACACAGTATCAGATTATTGTAGAGAGGAGTATGGCTATTGCATAAGGTCTGTCACAAGATAGACCTCTCTGGAAGAAAGAAAGAAGTCTGATGGAGCGACATGAATAAATCTAATGACGACAAAGACTGGTACGATAATTTTCGAATGAACAAAGCTTTAAGGGAATTTCGATGTTATCTGCACACAGCTGCATGATTACTTAAAAGCTAGTGACCAAGCTGTCCGCTAACCGCTGGATGTATGAATGAAAGTTGCATTCGTAATATAACGGATGGCTTCAACTTCAGAATATAGAACTGTGGGAAATTTGTTTGGTTTTGGGAAGTCCACTGTTTGTAAATGCATTCATGAAGTTTGTCAGACCAACTTTTCCCCTAAATGAAGATTTGAACTGTCTTTTCCAACTGTGCATTAGCCACAGATGGATGTCACAATTCCTATCATTGCACCGCCGAAGGCTCATTGGAGCTATCTCAACCATTAGGACTGGTACTCACTTATCTAGGCCGTCTGTGATCACAAATATGTCTTCAGAGATATTAACATTGGATGGACTGAGGGAGTTCATGACGCCAGAGTTTTATAATGGTAATGTTTTTGACACTGCATCATTTTACAAGTACCTTGGAATTATGTTCACTCCTAAATTAGCCTGGAGTAAAGCTACATCTTGTCTTGCATCACAAGCTGATAAGGCAATATTCTCTGTTACAAATTCCCAGAGGAAACTTGGCAGCATTAATTGTACAGATTTATTTAAGATATTTGATTGTATGATATCACCTATCCTATGTTATGGGTGTGACATATGTGGCACATCCTTCTGTAATACTATTGAATCTGTCCATGTCAAATTTCGTAAATATGTTTTGATACTTGAAAAATCCACCTGTAATATGGCCTTGTGTGAATTAGGAAGAGTGCCTTTACAGTTTATTTATAGAACCAGTGCTGTGAAATACTGGTGTAGACTTCTAAACATGCCTGACAATAGATTACCAAAACAATTTTATTTTATGTAATTATCTTTAGACAGGGTAGGACGAAATTCATGGGCAACTAAAATAAGAATATTCTTTTTATATTTGGTTTTGGATTGGTTTGAATAAGCCAGGAAATTGGTGATCACAAAATATTTAGTGAATCATTTAAGCAGAGATTACATGATAATTTATTGCAATCTTGGCAATCAACTTCGGATAGCAGCCATAAATGCTTTTATTATAAGCAATTCAAATCTTTATTAAATGTAGAGAGCTACTTGGTAAATAATGATATCCCTCAATATTTAAAAACAAGTGTAGAAGTGAGCACAGCTCACATACCCCCGCTTCCCACTTTGGGACATGGAAATGACTGATATTGATATATGTAATGTGACAAGGATCAGCAGCTCACAAGACTTTCTCCTTGACTCTACTAAACTTTATATACATGTTAGATAATAGTTTTGCCATGTACTGATTACAGTAATTATTTATGGAAACATTATTATTATTTTTGTCCGTGGAAACCTGACATACAATTGGATTTGTGGCACACAATGAAGTGGACGTAGATGAAGATTGTTATTTTTTAGCACATGGCATATCTGTGGGTCATGATTAACTTGTGTATTAAGTTTGGTAAACCTAGCATGTATAGTTTCGATGATATGCTGTGGCCAGGTAACCATCAAACACATTTTGCACCAAGTCATGTTTCCATGGAAACAACAACAAAACAAATTCTGAAAAAACTTTAAAGTAGCAAAAGGCACATCAATAGGTAATCATTAACATGTGTGTGAAGTTTGGTGAACCTAGCATGTAAACTTTAAGAGATATGCTCCGGACAAAACCATCAAACACATTTGGCACCAAGTATGCTCCGGATAAAGTTTCGGGACGGACGGACGGACAGAATGAAAGCTATATACCCCCGTTACTTCGTAGCGGGGGTATAATTATATATACCCGATTTCGGTGATGTAATTTTAAATTAGCAGTTGAAACTGGTACATAAATCAATGTTGCATATAATGAAAGGCATTGCCTGTTTTGTGAATTAAATGGCACCTTGTTGTTGAAGATGAATGGCATGTGTTTTATATCTGTGATGCATATTCTCATATCAGAAATAAGTACATATCAAAATATTTTAGTAAATGTCCATCAATTATTAATTTTATATCTATATTACAGAGTAAAAATGTTAGTATCATCAAAGATGTATGTCTATTTTTATTTTATGTTGACAAGAAACAGATATCTAAATGAAATACATTATATGTGCTCTAATTATCCATCAATTTATGTATATGTATTTTGGGCCGGAGGCCTATTACTGAAATAAAATTATGTTTTGTAAATGGTTATTAAATTTGGAGTGTTTATGTTTAATTGAATGTTGGCTGTATGTCTTAAGAACCTTGTTACTGTTTTTGTGCAGCGAGATCGAGTATATCCATTTTATACGATTGTACTCCATGCGACCAACCAAACTAAAAACCTGTCAGAATAGGAAGTGTTGCAGTTATAACCCCACAGCCAGTTGGGGGGCAGATGGGAGGCCATTATTGGTGTGGGATGTAGCTGGTACGGGAGGACCAAGAGTGACATGAACTGCATTTGCAGCTGACATTGCCACCCTAAACGTGTGAAAACACTCCTTGAGTAACAATAATTTGTAATAATGGTGACATCCTGTCTAGACAGCATCCGGTGAAACAAACAATCGTTAACAACTGTTTCATATTTACTTTTATCTCATCAAAGCAATTTGCATATGTGTATATTTTACTATGCGTACACATGACCTACAGTGCACATTTGCACTCGTGTAAATATACTTTTGCACCTGGTCCTGACCACGTGTAAATTTGCTCATGGTGTATATTTACATATGTGAGTAAATGCGTTCACGTGACACATTTACACACGTATGTATAATTTGCTCATGTGTGCATTTATACATAAGTGTGTAATCTGGTGCATGTGAAAGGGGCTTATTATAAATCGTATGCATGAAAGCGTGAAGTCTAGTTTGCACACTGTTCGCGTCCTGTTTACGTATAAGTTACGCACTTGGCATGCAATGCGTGACCGAAAATGGTGCGCATTGTCACGCAATGGCAATCGTACGACCTACTTACGTCTAGGTCAAGTATTGTCGGCGCATTGGTTACGTCTAGTGAATGGCATGGTACGCACGACGAGCATAGTTCCAGCATGTGCATATATTGCCACAACCACTTCGCGCATGCGTGAAGCAGTCGTGGTATGCATGTGTGTGTGTGTGTGTGTGTGTGTGTGTGTGGATAATTCTAACTTTGGTGTATATCCTTATTAAATTGTGACTATAGGTTTATATAATCAGTGATATATTGACCAAGTGTTTAGTTTATACATACTAAGTCATTATGATGTGATGCAAATGCGTTTGTTTTCAATATTATTCATTAATCAACAGGAATTTCATATGTCAGATACCAAGCAAATAGATGCTTTGGACGAATCTCTCACGAGCGTGGGTGTTGCTTCTCCCAAAAAGACTTCAGTTGTGGAACTTGCGCATACACTACCAAAAGGAAGCCGGACCTCAAGAGACACATTAGGTTTAGACATGAAGATGAAGATAAAAAGAAACAGATCAAAGTAGTGTAGCATTTTCGTGTGTGACCAATGTGCTAAAACCTATAAGACAGTATTTGGACTCGCAGAACACCAATCGGGACACTTAACGAATTCAAATATCCATGTGACCAATGTGATAAGATATTTAATTTCCGATCTCACTATGATGGTCATCTGCAGGGGCCACTTCGACCAAGATGACCCAGTTTAAGAGTCCTTTCAGATAGGCAAGTTCCCTGACAAGGCATCCGAAGGGGCGCTGCCAGAAATTTCCCTTTGAACAATTTTAGGCTAATTCTCCAAAAACGTTTGTAACCTCACTGTATCTCATCAGTACGGTGATGTCGAGTGATACCTCTTCAGAAAACAGCATGAACACAATATTGTCCATGGGAAGTGAATTTGAAGCAACCAATCATGTGAAGTTAAGAAACTTGTCATCGCATTTAAGTTAGGTAAGACAAGTGGAAGCAATTCTATCATTAATCGTAGAATAACTTGCCCAATCTTTTTAAAGAGTATATATCAACTTTCTCAAGACAAAATCACCTGTCAGAGCAAAGAATCCATGAAGATTTACCAGGACAAGTGGAACAACGTTCAGTTACAAGTTACCTGCATAGTTACGATTCCCTAAGATGTATTGTGACGTTTCAATTTTATTACCGCAACGGCGGCAAAAATACTGATTTTGGAAAAATCTTGTCATAAAGTTTGCTCAAAAGAGCTGTGAAATGGAAAGAATATGTGGCTGTTTATAAGTATATTTCTGCAATAAATGGCCATTCTTCCAAGCTATTTTTTATGGTTTCTAGCATGAATGTAAACATAAGAACTGAGGCAACAATAGTTTTTATTCAAAACAGTTATCAGAAAAGGATAAAACTTTGAATTCCTTTGATCCTCCCAGTTAAAATGCTGCAAAGAAATAATTGGTTGTATAATCATAAATAATTCGTAAAAGGTGTTTGAGTACCCACGTGAGGCAGCTAGTTTGCGTGATCTGGACTTTTCTCCTCGAACAATTCAACTGGATTTCTCCGGATTTCTAGAGTTTACATAATGAATACATGTATTTCAATATTTGATACCCATTACAGTACAACCAGAAATAATTGAGAATTTAAAGATTGTAATTTTTTATATTTTCTTTTCACTCATTACTCACGTATTAAATGTGAATATTCGCAGAACATAACTCCAGATTCAAAGGCAGCAATGCAGGCTTCAATGCGGCGGTGCTTACTATTGATCAAAGAAGTTAGAAAGTCGTGGCCCATGCTGTCCCAATATCGGACCACCTCTTCTTTCATTTCAGCAATATTTGTCAGATTTTTCTTATTGCACTTTCCTTCATAAGTCCCCAAACATTTTCTATTGGATTTAGGTCAGGGCTATAGCTTGGCCCTCCTAATAATGTCATATTTTGGGTCCGAAACCAGACCTGTGAATGCTTTGAACGATGTTTTGGGTCGTTGTCCTGCTGGAAAATCCAAAAATTTCCATAGAACACGTGAGTAGATGGAAGTAAATGTCCCTCGAAAATATCTGTGTACCGCTCACTGTTCATATTCCTTTCAAATACACAGACGGGCGTTGCCCCTAACACAGATATGCCACCCCACACGTTAAATTTCGGACTGTACTTTGGGCGCTGATACAGAATTTCAGTGTACATGTATTAGGAAACAGCCACACAGAACTTTCATCTGAGAAAATCACATTGTCCCAGTTAAAATGTCTATGCTGTAAGCACCAGTTCAACCTTCGCTCCTTTTGTTCAGGTTTCATGATCGGTGATGGAATTCCTCGACTATTCTGCCAACCCATTGCATGCAGCTCAGTTCTAATTGTCTCCTTACAGACAGCCACAATTCCTCTATCAATCATATCCAGCCTTAAGTTTTCTAAACTCGTTCGTTTGATTTCAGCAACAAGAATACCAAGCCGCCTCCTGTCGCCGACAGTCAATTTTTTGGGCCTACCTGCGCCTCCCTGGTGCTCAATGCCATATTCATTTGCAATATTTTTCAAAACACGATAAACAGTGGACAAAGGGATGCCTGTTCTACTTGAAATCACTTTAGCTGATCTGATGTCCGTGTTATAATACTCTAAAATTAACTTCCTCTTCTCTGAATCATTCATGGACCGCCTCCGTGGTGTAATGGTTAGAGCGTCCGTCCGGAGAGCGGAAGGTCGCGGGTTCGATCCCCCGACCGCGTCATACCAAAAGACGTTAAAATATGGTACTTGTTGGTCCCTGCCTGGCGCTCGGCATTAATGGGTACAACAAGGACTGGTCGGCTAGGAGGCAGTATAATGTGTCTGAGTGGGGTATTCATGCTTCACTGCGGCATGGTATCTCAGTGGGCTAGCACTATAAAAACCAGCTTAAGTCTGGGCTAGTACAAGCAGCCGCGCATACACATACACACGCATGCACGTCGTCATATGAGCGAAATATTCTCAAGCACGACAGTTAAACCCAATTTCACCTCACCTCACCTAACTCATTCATAGTGAGGAACACTGAAAATGTCGTCTGCTAGCAAGTAAACAAAGGGGGATAACTCTTCACAAACTAATGAAAAAAGGATTAACAGAGTTGTCTCTCTTGAATGAAACCAAGCACTTGATAGCTGGTCAAGGTTGTTTATACTAGAAATCCAATTAAACATATTCCTAAAATTCTCAATAATTTCTGGTCATACTGTATTTACGGTAACATGGATTTGCTAATAGCGCATTGCCGGGAGAGCCACATTCACACGATCACTCAGCCGTGCCCATTACCGGTTGAGCCACATCTTTTTCAACTGTTTTTCTTAAATGTGGCTTTCCAGGGCTATAACCACATCAAGTACGTGGTCTACACTGCCAGTTGTCAGATGAACTGGTTGGGAACTGGTACAGAAGTTGATGAATAATAAGAAAGGTGTGATACTTTATGCGGATACTATCCTCTTTATTATATTATGATGCGACGTTTCGGTAAAGATTCTTATACCGTTGTCAAGCAAGAGTGAAGTAATACAGAGTATATATATATGTGGGTGGATCTTCCCGTCCGATAAACCTCAGAATAAAAAAAACACTTCGACCCCTCCCCAAAAAACATACCGAAAATCAGCCATCTCAGACCACATGATCAACTGTCCTAATCACATCAAGTGGGGTTATGTAGAAATATTATCAAAAAACAATTCCAGGACTTCACCAAAAGAAAACTGGCAGAAGCCCTTTAAATCCGCCGACACGAGCAGAGCCCAAGGGTTCCTCATCCCATCATCAAATTGACAATCATATTGTTTCCATATTTTGTATAGACGTATCATAACGATTTGACTGGATAACCGATCACCTCTCAAGTAGGTAACGTTGTGACAGAAGTACTTTCTCATTCATAACAAACACGTGAATTCATTAACATTCTTTCTACAACTTTCACTACGTCAATTAAGTTAGATGTTTTAACGTTATAATAGTTCATGGCAAAAGTGTACATTATTACACTATACATGGTCTCAGAGCGAACTGTATTTCTTTTCTAAGATGCCAAATTTACTACATTCTAGGGTTAAATACGATTAATCTAAAGCAGAAAACAATCAGAAAAACGACGGTGTCGGTGACCTAAATTAACAATCCTCGTTCAGGGCTAACTGACGCGCTGTTCTATTTACGTGTCTGCCAGTTTGATGAAGGTTTACGTTTGTAGCGACCAGAACTGGGATACGACCAGTTCTGGTCGCAACAATGTTTCCACCAGTGATGTTAGCCAAGTGAAGCAACTGCAAATCAAGAAACTGGGTGCTACGGAGAAGTTTACTGTAGGATGCTGTATGAGGCGATGACAGCTGACTTGCATCGTAAGGTCGGTTACCTGTGGTGTCATATAGCTGCCATCGCGTGGCGCGTAAAAAACGAACGACGTCGCATAAAAAAGACGTCGTCTTGCGCGACGTCGCTTTGTAACATATTTTTTTCTTATTTATAGCTACAAAACTAATGGGCGTCGTCTCACTATATCGAGGGGTTAGTGACAGATAACCTTAAGTAAACAATTCTGTCAAATTTACAGTATTAATGCTGTATAATTCGTATGGGACCTCGTGTAGTATTCTCTATATATTCCATGATATTTTGTCAATTCTAAAGAATGAAATGCATTCAGACAGAATAAAGATACCTTATACTTAGAAACACGTCTTTATCATTTTTCCCGTAATGCCTACAATTAACTTTTGGTCAAATTCATTTTAGTAAGGGTAGAATAGGTCAATTTACTATTTAAAATTTACTTCTTTTTTTTATCTCTGTAATAAATATGCTGAATGAACATAACGTCTAGTCTGATTCTACTGGACTGATCCATTATAAGAAAGGTATCAGCTTGAGGATTAGTTGTGTACTGAACCAGAAATGTTGTTGTTTTAAGCTGTCTAAGATATGGCAGTCTACGTTTTGGGAGGTTACCGCCTTACTTCCTGATCCCTGGACGTATCTTGTTGTTTTAACGTGTAGGAAGAATGGAACTGTAGGCAGAATGGGAAGACACGCCCTACAATGAACTCATAAAAACAACGGAACAGAGCGCTCTAGCCATCATTGCTAATTAATCCTATCTGATATGGGGTTCGTTTCTCCACAGGGGTACAATGTGCGAAACCTATTTCTGGTGTCCCCCGCCGTGATATTGCTAAAAGCGACATAACACTCACCCACTCACTATCTGCTATGCATATTCTGTTCTGCCTCTTCAAAAGCTGACTGCCTCCTATTGTTAATGCTTTAATTCCAATATCCATTGTTATTGTCAATCCCTTTGATACATACCCTCATGTTGTCACAATTTTCCACAAGTATGTCTCTTATGAAAGCAGACCATAGATGCAGTCAACATGACTATTAAAAAAAATCAATGAACACTTGCGATCTGCAAATGACATCTACAAAGCATATGATGAATTTCTTGAAGTGACCATATATGAATTGGAACATTGTGTACCAAGAGAAACCCTATATAAACCAACATCACACAAACATAAATGCAAGACAAAACCATATTGGAACAATATTCTACAGGACTGCTGGAACAGTGTATGTATTGGTGAGAAGAAATGGATCAAGTGCAGAAGCTCTAACTACACAAAGAACAAATTGAAACAGGAATTCCAAACATCCCGCAAGATATTTGATAAACTACTACAAACACAAGCGTCAACATCAACTCAATAAGCAGGCTTTACTATCATCGTTGTTGAACAATGGAAGTGGAAAAGACTTTTGGAAAGAGATTGGTAAAATAGGACTTAGCAACGAAAGACATGAATTCATTTATACCAATGGAGGTAGTGGATTCTGATGGCAATCTCCCATGTGACATCAGAGAAGTTATGAACCAGTGGACTAATGACTAGCAAGTTGTTTAATGAATCATTGGACGATTCTTATGATGATTCACACCTACATTATGTTAAGGCATAACTCCAGAAGATTGAGACCCAGTCTCTAAATATCATCCAGAATGTATCATTATTAAACTCACCAATATGTTTTTCAGAAGTCAGATCTGCTGTTTTCAGAGCGAAAACAACAACGCGGTTGGATCAGATAAAATTACATCAGAAGCTCTGAAAAATAAAATAAAACATCTGTTGAATCATTGCATAAACTTTATATTATTTTTTTTTTAAATGGAATGACACTATCACAGTGGAAATACGGAATTATAAATCCTATAATGAAACCTGGGAGTACTGATGTGAGAAACCCATAAAATACAGAAGAATCACACAATAATCAATTCCATGTAAAAACACTGTGATATCTTGAACCAGAGACTGTCTACGTGGTTGTAAAATAACAATATTTTATCAGAAGAGCAAAATGGCTTCAGAAAGGATAGGAGCTGTCTTGAGAACATATATTCACTGTATACAATCGTCAAAGACAGAAAGATAGCAAAACAAAACACTTCCGCATGTTTCATTGACCTGAAAAAGGCTTTTGAAAATGTTAACCATGACTGTCTGTGGTTTAAGTTATGTCTAACTGGATTTAGTGAAAAAATCTATTCATCAGTCAGATAGCTGTATGAAGATGTGAAATGTTTTGTGCCCCCCTAGAGTATATGTGATCTTAAATGGTCATATGAGCCCAATGTTTGATATAAACAACGGTGTTAAACAGGGATACGCCTTACACCCCACTCTATTTTCAGTATACTAGTACATTGATGACCTTGTGGAAGATATAAATGCTATAAATTGTGGAGTTCGTGTTGATAATACCTGTGTGTCATTGTTGCTGTTTGCAGATGTCATTGTGCTCATTGCCCCAAGTGAAGAATCATTAGCGAACATGTTAAACAGTGTCAATGTGGTGCTGTAAATGGCGTCTAACCCCACAGGTCCTCGTGTCTTTGCGAGGATTAAAGATGTTAAAAAAACATAAAACAGTTGAGATGACCCGCAACTCGAAATGCCTCACAGTACAATACATTATGTATTCTACCATGGCTACGTGAAACGCTCGAATTTGATTGGTCAATCCATAAAATCAGACGGTATCAATTTGGATTGAAAATGCGTCTGATTTCACGGCGCTTCACTGCGCACTACTTCAGCTTGGCCACCAACATGACTAATATCAACACAACAGACGTGATGGAAATGCTGATAAAACATTTATTAAAACTCGAAAAATACAATTATACGATGTCTCCTCCACAATTATTAGGGAACCTCACTATTATAATTATTACCTTCTATTATAAAAATATTCAATCTCAATATTACAATACACAAACCCCAAACATAAACAGTATCTAACATATAAATCAGAAAACCTTGTAAAAATACATCCCCTTCTATCCCTATTTGTGCGGCAAATGTTCGTAAACATTTACCTACCTGGTAAATGGTATATTTAATTCCGTTTAATTCCGTCAGGCGAAACAAAACAATTTGCTACTCATACTCCATTGCATCGTTCAAAATGTCAAACACTGAACTATGAGAATTCCGCTCTCTGCCACCTTCCCGCAAGACTGTCGCTGCTCCGTTCGTACACTTTGAAAAGCTTGGCCACAATCCAGTCCCAAATGATGAGAACAATGTTCCAGGGAATCCCAAGTTAGTCGCATGTATACAAAGCAGCACTGTCACTCTTTCGCATGTCGGGGAGTAGTAGATACAATAGCGGTCCGAGATCAAGTCCAACAAAAGCTTCTGTAAAGCTTTATTTCACAAATAAAGCTTTTGTCAGGCCCTTAGATCTCGCCCCAGTATATCTACTACTTTTGAACCCCTAGTTAACTTCCCGGCCCCACGTGGCACTATTGTGGCATTTCCTGATCACGTGGCGCTATGTCGTGTGAAACAGTTTAATGTTTCGCACCCCTTGTTCTATGTACTTTTTTTTCTCATCTTCGCCGATAGCAGACTTACGAGACTTGAGCCGGATTTCTTGTTTCATCTTACGGCATTTGTCGAAGTTCAGAGGATTGAGATTCCTCTCCTCTGAGATCTTACTGTAAGTGAGTGCTGCTGAGAATATCGCCACTTACCGTGTTCAGCTTTGCTTCAGCCAGAATCCTGATCTCGTCGTGTTTCAATGCCTTCCGGTGCAGTCTGCGTGACACAAACTTAAACACCAATCCAGCCAACCCTGACACCCCAGCTGTTATTTCGATGCCTAGCACTGCGGGTGCAGCAATGATGGTGGCCAACAACCCCACACCTACTGCCCCTAACCCGATACTGGTGGCCATAAGGGCGGTATCAACCCCATCCACGACATTGAAAGCTCTATGGTACTTCTTATACAATGCTGCCCGTGTTGGTGTTTTATGTCGCATAACTGTCTCAAGCAGAACCCGTCTACGGTTTCCAGTGGCTTCGGGGCTTCCTCCGCAACTGGGTATAGACCCATTCTGTGTGCATATAATATACTTTATAACATATCTTTTAATTGTGTGCTATTTAATTCTTGAGCAGTGTACTTGAGGCTTATAAGTTGTAGAGGAGCGT